TAGATCAAGCTGAATATTACATAGATGTATAAAGAATATGACTCGACAAGATTTTTAAAAATCTAAAAGAAAAAGAAAATCACTGGGAAAGTTAATTTTGGATTTCTGAGGAAATAAAAGAATTTTTTAAAATTATTACAGTATATTTATTATAATAAAACTACAAATCTTTGCTTTTGGTGAATTACTTGACATATTAGCAGATAAAGATGTATTTTTAAATATTGATCAAAATTTAAAAGATATTCTTTTTTTTAATGATCAGTTTGACTTAAAAAGTAAACGAACGAAAATTATTCATTTTTGTGATTTATTGAGACAAGCTTATGAGTTTATAGGATATGACCCAATTCAAGAACCTTATCGCCAAGTTATTTATCGGTTTTTATGAAAAAAAGTAAATTTTTAGAAGAAATTTTTCTTCCTAGGGAACAAATTATAATTCCAAGAGTTTATCAGAAAAAAAGTCATAGTATCAATTGATATAAGAAAAATCCTTATGAGAAAAAATATCCTTTATTATTGATTGAATATGATTTTTATTTTTTTTATTACATTGTGATCAAAATAATATTCCTAAAATATTTGGAAAAGCAATTGTTCTTGACGAGAATTCAAGATAGTGACGATTATAATGCTTATTTTTTTGAAAGATAGTCTTTGGCTTAGGGTGTGGGTGAGTCTTCAGTTCGACCAGACGTACATCCGTATCCACAGCCACACTCACACCCACACGATATGCACAACGGCATAGATCCTGTCAGTAGAGGGTTAGCGACGTTTGCGTCGCGTTACTTGTGATTATCCTTACCTGAAAAATCGAATATGTTAATTGGTTTTCTATTCAATATTTTAGAATGATTATTAGAGGATCAAAAATCAAAGTAATAAATGAAAATTAAAAAATCTTGTGTCATAAAGCTTGAGGAATATACATATTTGGATGAATTATACAGCAGTGCATCAAATTCACATATATCGAGATCAAAACAACAATATAGAACTTTGTGAAACAAATTTTGGTATTCAAAAATGATCTTTGATTTCTTGAAAATTGAACAAGAAACTTTTTTTCTCATTACAGGCTAAAGTATATGACATTTTCTCTAGATGAATTCCAACAGTGTTCATTTAAAAGATATTCTACTGTAGTTGGGTTTTTTCCACCACTAAAATCTATCGGATCTAAAATTTTCGGACTCGGACCAAGACTCGATGGATTTACTCGCCAAAATAATAGCAGCACTATTTTATACTCTTCAGTCTTAAATCATATCAACATGAGCCTTGCTTGAAAGTCATATTAACAATGGAGTAATCCCTTCATGTTATGGTTTAAATTCATATACTATTGAGCATATGTCTTTGTAAGAATATGATGCAGAGAACTTAATCATATATCATTTTTAGTCAGAACATATTTTCTATTTAAATTCATTTTTAAAAATTTCTTTCCATCTTGCTTTTAAAGTTTCTAGTCAAAATGGTTAGCGTCGACAACATTTTCAAATCGTTTTATCTTGATGAATAAAATTTGACATAAAATGCCAATACAGATCATTTTTCAAACCGAGCTGTTCTATATATATTTTTATATGACTTTCAAGCAAAGCTAATGCCAATAGAATTTAAAACTAATGAATCTATTATAATGTAGCTATGATTTTGACTAGGAAGAAATCGATTGATTTATTATGTCAACATTTGTTTGTCTGAAATCTGGCAATAGTATTGAAAAACAAATGATTACACAGTTGAATAGAGCATACTCAAAAGCATGTAATCACATTAAATTTTCTGTTCTCAACAGTCAATAGCAATCAAGAGAGAATGAAAAATTATCCTCAAGTGGATCGTCATACAAATTTGCTTGACACCATAAAATCAACTGATTTGCGTCGAAATTTTGTCTTTAATAAATAAGCTTCGCAATAGGCTGCTTCTTGTATGTTCTAGATTAATATTGAAATTTTACTAAAAAAAATCGTCACAATTTCATGATGATAACATAACAATATTAAACAAAAGGAAAAATTTTCATATTATCATATTTGTGATAAACATTTACACAAGAAAAACTGCATTAATTTAATTTGATATTTTATGCTCATTTAAGCTTTCTGTTTGATTTATTTAGTAAATTAAATTTGATCGCTTCAGTACACGTGTCATAGATGACGTAGATTAAACGAGACACTGTCATTTTATTTTTCGTTTGATGCACTGAAATACATTTTCAGAGGGACACTTGATAGAAAATTTTTTGCTCTACAAATTTGTTACTTTTTTTTCATGTAAATTCTGTATCTTTTAGTATACTAGACGAAAAACTTGGAAAAGTCATGTCCGACAGTATTATTTGTTTGTTCGTTTTTATTTTGTTATTTCGATAGAACCTAATCATTTGTATTCGTCAACTTGATAGTCACAACAATTTGTTCCAATATGCATAGAAAAATATTAGTAGGTTTTTTTCCTCATCAAGGATAGTCCCTTGAAAAAAAAAGGGATAGAATTGAAGAGCGTTAAATTCTCTACTTTCTCGATTAGTCTTCATAAGAAAAGAGTTACTGTATAAAATCAAAAATTACAGTTAGACGATTAAGCAAGTGTTTATATTTTAAATATTGCTGCAGTAAGAGAAATTTATTTGAAAATCAAATGCATCAGCTTTGTAGAGCAAAACGTTCTCAATCGAATAACTTTCTGAAAGTGTGTATTTTATTCAGTTTGAAAGCCAAGAGGAATGGCATGCTTCCGAACTTTGTGGTTATTGTACCATGTGTTTATACTCCCAAAAATAGGTGTTCGCTCTTCCAGAGTTTTGAACCGCCCACTGAGAGAAAAAATCTAAAAAAAAGACTAATTGGAATGACCTAAAAAAGGAAATGATGTTATCTTATTTAATATGCATTGTCTAATATAAGAACAAATATATGCTAAAAAGTGAATAAATTATTGTCTTTAAACAATTTTGTTCTTTTGTGAAACTCACATATAGTTTCGAAGAAAATAGAAAGTGCAAATTCTAAGTCGAAGTTTTGTGGCTTTTCTTGCCCTTCTTCATTACAAACAAAAAATAGCGCACCTGCACAAAACATAAACAGTTCCAATTCGAAATGCAGAAATTAAACAAATTTTTATTCTGATGCTCGATTATCCTATAAAACAACTATAGTCTAGAAGAGATGGTTTACTTTACGTATTTTGTATTAGTTTAATGAAGCCAGAGAACATATGTGAGTTTTAATGAATTGTCTGATTTCTTAGTACGAGATTAGGATTTTAGTTTTATCTTTCCAATCATGAAGCAATGTTAAATTAAAAATTATAATGAATGCATTCCTTCATAATCTTCTAGTGTATCTAAATAGTTATAGTGACCTTTACATCCAAAAATAGCACCCTTCCTTCCTTCTCGTTTTATTTTTCAAAAATAATCCTCGGAGATTTTCTCTTTCAAAAACCTTCTACTTTCTTCATATTCTTCTAGTGATGATCGTTGATAAAGCAATATTTATTCGACGATACCGTAGATAAAAGTTTTTTTTCCTCATTATTATAAGCCATTTAGAACATGTTCTATAGTATAACATGTTAGCTTTGGAACTAAAATATTAAGTCATAGTCTATCGAAATGAAATAATAAATTTAAACGTTAGAACTAAGTGTGTGCACTTCCACACTGAATTTGTAATTTTGTTTTATTTTTTGTAAGACAAGTAAGACATGTGATAAGAATAATAAGTGACTATAGTTAAAATTTCTTAATTAAGTAACATAGTTTACACATAATTTGTCCTATATATTATATCAGTTTTCAATATATTTCATACTTAAATTTTTTCTATAAACGTCTCTTCAGACTGAATACAACTTTGTATTCTGAAACTAGAAAATAATATAGGTTTGACATACTTAGTTGATTAAAATTCTCTCATTTGGATGTTGAACCAAGAAATGAATAATATGATTCTTATTCAATTAGTTTTATTTTTGTTTTTCAACTAAATAAGAAAAATTTTTAAAACGTCGTTTTTTTCCTATGATTATAACAATGAAATTGAGAAATATCTAGAAAAGAAAAAAAAACATGAACGTTTTTGGTTTTTTTTTGGTATTTCTATGTCAATTAAAATCACTAAATCATCTTTCGATTTCTTTTATTGTTTGTTAACAAGTTCCGATTACCAATTGGAAAAAGAAAGTCATGTAGAATGTCATCGGAAAAAATCAATTCATTTGAATGGAGTATCATATAAATATGAGAAAAGATGGGTGGGCTGTCTAAATCTCTGTTGTTCAACAACAAAAAGAAAGAAAAAAAGAAAATATTTAGTCAATATTATTTTGTTTTCTATTTTGACCTGTTATATTCTATGGTAATTTATCGGCTCCATGTTAAACTATTGTTCGTTGGAGCCGATTTGATCGTCCATTGAGACTAAATAGACCAATGTAACAAAGATAATATATTTATGTAGCTTTATTAAAAAACATTTTACGATTGTAATGGAGATATAGACACAGGAGAAATGGTCACCGCCAACGCACATAAGAAAATTGTTAAAGAGACAGACAGAGAGAGAGACTGTGATTTCTATGACAAATGAGAATAGAATAAACAGTGAGAATAACGAAAAAAAAAATAGATAGACCCTTTCATTACAATTTTCTCGAGAATCTCCTATGGTTTTGATGTCCGGTCTTTATCGGTTCTTGTTAAGTAAGAAATAGAGAGACAGAGAGAAGGAGAAAGAAGGAAGAGAGAATTTTTCTTCTTGCTTTTTTTTCTCTCACCATCGATTGTCTAGAGATTCATTTCGATCTTATTATATTCCATCAAGTTAAGCTGTCATTTTTTTTGTAGATATATATAAATATATAGATATATATATAATTTGTTCTTTTATTTCAGCAATCGACGTTTCTGCACAAGTTTCCAAATCCTCTTTTTCTTCATCTGAAAAGTCAATCAATTTTTTAAAATCAAGTCAAACATGTTTTCTTGCTTCGTACGGTTTATTTTATGTCTCATTGTTTGTCTTACAATTGCTCATGCGTATCCACCATTAATGAGCAGAGCCAAATGGGTAATTTTTTTTTCATTGGTTTAATATATCTTATAAGAGATCTTATCATTTGTTTTTTGTGAAAATAAAACTAATCTTATGAAATATTGTTTAAAAAACAAAAAATCTATCGTTCGAACTTTTAGCTATCAGAACATGCTCCAAGACCTCATGGAACTCAAGATGGAGAAACATATGATTATATTAATTCGGTAGATGGAAATGATAATGGTAAGAAGTTAAAACTTTGTTTTATATGAATTAATAATTAATTTGTTTAATTGTTTTTCTTTTTCTTTTTTTTGTTGAAGATGTGACTGGTAGTAATGATTTTCCAACGTGGCTATTACGATCACGTAAATTCTGCTGTGCACCACCATTGTAACATCATCTCATAGATCAACAATAATAGACAAAAAGAAAACTATTAATATATTATTTGTTGTTTACAAAAAAAAGAAAAGAAAAGAAAAGCAGATCTTTACATAAAACGAAAATAAAGATACAAACTATACAAAAGAAAAATTCATATAATCATTATATATGTTTTTATTTATATTAGGATATCACCGATCGTATTATTGTTGAACGTGAAATATCTTCATCATGATCTGGTGAAAAATTAAGTAAAGGACGATTTAAATTTCTTTCAGTATGAATAAGATCATCGTCATCTGCATCATCATCATCAATAATAGTTGAATCTGCATACATTACTTGTGGAATAAGAGTTTGTGAACTTAAAGAGAAAAATATGTATTGATATAATTTAAAAAAAAAAGAAAATCTACCTTAAAGCTCGTCGTAAAAATTGATGATAAACAAATGGAGCAAAACAAATATAGAATATACACGTCGTACCATCAACAATACTATAATAGTTATTTAAAAACTCTGTAGAATTTTATTTTAAATTTTTCATAAAAAAAAAGTGCAAAAACATCCTTCCTTTCGTTTTCTCTGCCTAATTCATCCGATCGATCTGAAAGTTTTTTTTTCACATATACTAGACACTGTTTGAGATGGATACGTTTAATATTTTGATGTTTTTACTAGAAAGATACAATATCCAACAGAAATGGCGTTCAGTGTCTATAAAAGAAAATTTTCAGCTCGAACGAACATAGCTTCTTGAAGAAACGAGGAAGTCATTGTGATCCTAGTATTTCATAGAAGACAACATCTGCAATAATAACTTTTACTCTGCCAAATGCTATTAAAATTTCAAATTTTTCTGTTATACTGTTCTTCGAACAGCTAAGAGGTACCCTTACACAGTAACCCCTTTTTTTTGTGTATCGAATAAACGGTTAAAATATCAATCATATCATGTCGTCTCATATTTTCAATCTTTCAATATATATATATAATAAACTTACCACATGGCATATTGGGTAGTTTCAGTTAAATTTAAAATTGTTCCAATTATTTGAATACCATTCATAAATACCATTACAAAACAATAGATATAAAATGATCGACGAACTAGAAGAAAAATATATAATTATTGATTATAATGTTAATCATTAGTATTCAATCGTACTTGGTAAATATTTACGATGTTGACGACATAACAATGGTAGAAAAAATATAATAATATACATCTAATTATAGACAAATCAATGGAATTCTAATTAGTTACTAAATTTCAACTTACAATAAGAAAAATTGAACTTGATATAAGAAGAAATTTCATTCCACCATATGAATAAAGATTATAATTTGTTATTCGAAAACTACTTGGACGTGTATCACCATGAAATTCAAGTACAGCCTATAATAAATTATTTTAACTTTACGAAAAAAAAAAAAGAAAAACGAAATTTGTTTCTTTTTTACTTGTATTATAGTATAAATTAAAGAACAAGTTGATGAAATAATTAAAATTTTTATTGTTTTCATCCATGGTCGATTTGGACTTGATCGACCTTAATAAATAAAATAAATAAATCAATAAATTGAAAATGAATTTTTTTTTTTTCATTACCAAAATAGATGCCAAAAACTAGAAGACTTAATTCTGTACATAAAAGTGTAAATCGAACAAGTAACCAAAGAAGCTAAACAAAAAACAAAAATTCAACACATACAAAAAAAAAAAATATCGTTATATTTTTGTTTTTGTTCATTACTTTTAAAGTAATTCCTTTGGCATACGATGTTTGTTCGGCAAAAATCATTGCATATAAACATCGTATTATATTGACAAATGAAACAATACATATTAAACAACTAACAGTAAATAATAATGGTTTACTTGAATTCAATTTCGTTCTTGTATAATACCATTTAATAATAAGAAAGAGAAGAAATATAAGATTGGGTATAAGTATAATTGTATCAAAATAACGAATTCTACGACGAAAAAATAAAAACTCAGTATATCTTTTTTTTGTTTTTGTAAATATTTATTCATGATTGCATTCTTTTTTTTTCCTGTCTAATGCAGTCACCTTTTTAACCTGCACATATCTTATGGGCGTGACAAAAAAAAAAGAAAAGAAAAACGAACGAGAAAAAAAAAACGAGGTTGCCGTCGCATCGGTTGCTTTTATATATAGCAGCTACATCATGTGCAATATTTAGAAGGGTTTTTTTTTCTGTTCTTATACGAGTAATATTTGCAATGTACGAGTCACTCTTGAACGGTAGCGAAAGCATAACATTTCATTATTTTTTTAAAGCTTATGTCTTTCTACAATAATGTAAAAGAAAAAGAAGTCGTATTCTTATATATGTTTTTTTTCTAGAAACAACATGGGAAGTCTACCTGGCCATTTAGTTCCTGGCTCAATATTTATTATGCTCGGTCTATGGTGGATATATTCAGCATGGTTACGTTATTTTATATGCCGTCAACGTCGACGACCATACTATGTAACAACATTATTTCCATGTCATTGTTGTGGGCCACGTGTTGCTAGGTTACCTATTGAAGCATTTTTTGTTTTATTCGGTACAACATTGGGTATTCTTATTGAATTAATTGCTGGTTTTAATCGTGTAGTTGATCCTAAAACAGGTGCTGTATCATTCTTTGAAGGAGCAAATAATCTTCAACATTTTGCTATGTATTTAATGTTTTTCTTAGTTGGATTAATTACACTATTAACTCATTATAATTTTCCATTACCGAAAAATTTCGATATAGCTGCTGGTTGTTTAGCATTTACGGCGGAAGCTCTTCTCTTCTATTTTCATGGTCATACTCGTGATCCAGTAGAAGTTTTAATACATATTTTTCTTGTTTTAGCTATATGTGCTACTGTTATATGTGGTGTTTTTGAATTAATTCAAAAAGAAAAACAAGTTCATGCAACTTTAATGCGTGCATATTTTACTGTTATACAAGGTGCATGGTTTTATACAACAGGATTTTTTCTTTATAGTCCATTTCATGAACATTATGAACAAAGTAAAGATCCTGATGCACATCGTACATCAATGTTAATTGCTTATTATTTTTCAATTCATATGGCTGTTGCCCTATTTATATTACTTGCACTAGCTGTACCAGCTTATTATATAAGTAAACGTCAACATCAAACAATAGATTTTGCTGAATATGGACAATTTTCAATGATTAATAATGATGAAGATGAAGAAATGGAAAAATTAAATGGTACAACAACAATACAATAAAAGAAAAGAACAAAAACAAAAACAAGAAACTTACTTTGATGAAAGAATTTTTTCCGTCCGAAATCGCACACATATTGGAAGTGGTAATATAGGAACCATAGAACCATTTCCACTATTATTATTATTATTCGATATAAGATTCATTGAATATGAAATAAAATTTATATCATCTAAAATTGAGATTAGTGAAATAGAAAAAAGAAAAGAAAAAAAATGGAATGAATAAAGCAGATCAAATAGAAAAAGAAAAATATGCACTGATCATTAGCAAAGAGAGAAAAAAAGCAACTTAAGCGAAAGGAATGTTTTGTTTTGTTTGATTGTTTTAATTACGAAGTAATTTTCGAATCCAATCTTCATAATTAATAAGGCCATTTTTATCTTCAAAACCAGAAAGTAATTGTTCAACTTCTTCATCTGATAAACGTTCACCAAGATTTGTTAATAAATGTCGAAGTTCAGCTGATGAAATACTGCCATTTTGTTCTTTATCAAATACTTTTAAACCTTAAAATAAATATTCAATTATATTTCATTTATAAACATTTATCTTTCTTTTTCTTCTTTTATAACCACATCGTACTTAATTGAACGAAAATATAATTTTGAAAATCTCATGAGATTAAATTATAGATCATGAAAAAGAAAAGTTGACGAAACCAATGTTGTCCTCACCGGTATTAAATATTATAGTTAAATATCCTATGACTGTAATCGAATTATCTTATAAAGCATAATCCATTATAACAAAATTCAAGAGACATGATCGAAAAAAAATAATGCTAATCGTCAAATCAATAATTAAAAAAACGAAGATTGAAGAATTTTTTTTTTAGATGTAATACAAATGAATACAGAAATAGTGTTTTCTAGAACGAAATCAATAGAAAAGAATCTACCAAAACTAAAAGAAAAATTGATCCAATGGTGGACTTCTAGGTAAGATCACTTTTTTTTTAAGTACGAATAATTTGTTGAAAACTTATTTCATCAAGAGATGATTGTCTTTTGAATAAACGAAATACGATGAAGGTTAAAGTACATGTAAACAAAGAATACTATCTATGCAATTATACCTATATAAACTTAAAGTATTCAATCATATTTGATATGATGTATTATCGATTGATGTTATCTATCTTAGTCCAATACGAACATAAACATATAGAGTGTAATCAATAAAGTTTTGATATCGATCAGCTATTTCGTTTAGAAGAATATTTACTAAAATATGCAACAGATTTTATATAAATTAAGTGAACTAATAGAAAATGATATCTATTTATCCTGATTACATATTTTTCATAAGCATATTTTATGAAGTCTGTCAGTATTTTCTTATACTCAATATGTTTATGGTTTTTGTTATATTCGACTGATTATCTACAGCGTAAATCAAGTGATCACATGTAATATGATTTACAGAGTTTGTACAGAACAGGAGAAGTATGAGATATATATAGAAGACTCTACGTCATTGTCTACCGAAACGAGAAAAAATTTATAACGCTTCTATAAAATATTTTTGCACATACTCACTATACCACTCATATATGGAGATAAGATAATTCTATGTCATTCGATTAATTTATATACAATCTATTAAATTTACGACTATCACTATCACACTTCTTATGTTTATGTTTACACATTAGATTAACAAAGACAATATCAATCATAAGTTCTGAAATACCAAACAAACTACTAAATTTTGCATCTTTTGATATATAGCAGTAGAAATATTTGCAAGAAGAATCATCAAGTAAAAAGTCGAGAAAAAAGCCGTCTCTGATAGGATTACGTGATTATTCTTATTATTTTTTTTTTGTTTCAATAGAACTTAGTCGTTTGTACTCTTCAATTTAGTAGTCACAACATTTTTTTTCAATATGCATAAAACAGAAAAAAATCTTGCCTTTCGTGATTGATCTACATAAGAAAAAACTTTCTGCAAGAACTTGCAAATCATAGCTAGACAATTGAGCAGACGTTCTTATTTTAAGTATGACTTTCTCTAGAAGAGAAAATCTGTACCAAATACTGATCGGAATGATCCAAAAAAAAAAAGAAAATAAAGTTCGGTTTAGTCCATTTTCATCGCAGCTATATTGAGTTTAATTCATTGATCATTACATATAAGTTTGAACTTAAAGTGAAAATATTTGCATTAAGTCCGTAGTGCTAGCCCTTCGATCCGAGTACTTATGTAAGGGATTGAAGAAGCTCAATACCTCACCATCAAGCATACTCACTAATCAAAAGCATTTTTCTGATATTTCTACTAATGGTTATATTCATTTTCGAAATGTCGGATAGGATCACCATTGTTTTAATTAATTTCTTTCTCTCCAAGGCAAGATATCTTTAGTAAAATTCTATCGATGAAACAGGATAATATCTCAAAATTTTAGTCTTCATAAAACTTAAGTGATTCATCTTTATTACATTTTCTAGTGGGACAGTTCAACCTTGTTTTCTCAGTAGACTGTGACAAGTATTTATGCTAATCTCCAGTTAGTACCGGTAACAGCATTTGGTCTCATATATCATTCAAAAATACTATTTATCACACCTAAACATCGTTTCAAAACAGAAAAAAGTAAGAAATCAATCTTCATAAACGGCATCGAAATGTTATTAAATGTATGCATTGGATTATATCCATATAATGACATTTTGATGCCATTTATGAGGGACAATATCTTACTCTTTTCTGCTTTAAAATGGGATCTAGATGTGATAAACAGTAATTTTGAGCTACAATAAGTAACTATTTTAAATTTCTATTTAATAGTTTATTTTAATTTATTAATTATATATAAAATCATACCTTCAATAAGTTCTTCTTCGGTCATATTATTATCTTTTTTTTTCGCCAATGAATCATACAAAGGTAAAAATTCTTCAAATGATATTCGATCCGTTTTTAAATTTTGTATTGTACCTTTGATTTGTGCTTCAGTTGGATTTAATCCAAGGGCTCGAACAACTTCACCAAATAGATTTTTTGGAATTTTATCATCACCACGATCATCAAA